AACCTTCAGAGGCTCATAAAGGCAGTTAATGTCAGGCTTTTATCAGCTGAAGAACATCTCTAGGATTAAAGGACTAATGTCCAAGCAGGATCTAGAAAAACTAATTCAAGCATTCATCTTTATTAGAATTGATCGCTGCAACAGTGTCTTCATACTGTAGGTTTGTCTAAAAAGTCCATCAGAAAGCTGCAGCTGATCCAAAACGCTGCTGCCTGTGTTCTCACTAGAACTAAGAAAGTAGAGAACATCAGCCCACTTCTGAAGTCCTTCCACTGGCTCCCTGTAGCTCAGAGAATAGACTTTAAGATCTTTCTTTCCAAATGGTTGAAAAAAAAAATTGAATCCCGGGAACAATGGGCATTTAGTGGGAACGAGGGGTTAGACCAGCTTTTTATTACAAATGGTAAGGGAGCCAAATGCTGATTGTTAGCGGGTCTACCAATGTTTGAAAAACATGCCTTAACCTGCTATTTTCAGTGCGAAAGAGGCTTTAGACTATAAATCTTTAAATGGATCAGCACCTCAATCCAATACAGATCTGTTGTCAGTGGATCAACCTCCCAGACCACTGGGGTCTTCTAGTTCCAGCCTTCTCTGTCCACTCAGAACTAGAACCAAACATGGAGAAGCATAATTTAGTTCCTAGGCTCCACTGATCTGGAACAAACTCCCAGAAGACTGGAAAAAGGCTAAAAAGCCTAATTTATTTGAAGTCGAAGTTAAAAACCTATTAGTTTAGAGCTGCCTTTGACTGATGAAGTTAAACTGTTAACTGAGGTATCTTTCTTTTATTCTGCTTTTATTTTTGTTCTATTATCTAATTAACGTAAAGCACCTCGAAAAGTCATTGCACTGAATTAAGCTATACAAATAAAATTCCCTTGCCCTCTTTTAAATTAAAAGCTTTTAAGGTTTCATTTTTGGTTAGCGTCTTTTTTTTTTTTTTTCAATTTCAATTTGCAAAATATGTCTTTTGCTTCTAACAATAATGGAACAAATTTTATTCTGTATTTTATGAACTTAAAGCGTTCTTGTCCAGAGTCCGCCATCACAGGTGTTTTACTGCCACTGTTGTGTGGAAAACCTCTTACTTGCATGCATGGAGCCGCACACAAACTGCAACTTGCTCCTCCCTTCTATGTGGCGCCAAACACACCTTTAGCGCCACCTACAGAGCTGGAGTGAGAGGGTCAGTGTCTTACTCTTGTTAAATGTAACATGACCAAAATTGAGCATCTCTGTGTTTTGTTAAGTTGCAATTAATATTAATAATAATAATAATAATGTTTAGAACTGTAAATATACAGTCATATGTTTATATTACTTTTTTATGTATTTATTACTGTTTTCAAGGCTGCACTTCAAAATAGTGAAATTGTCTAGAGCTGTTTCTTTTTGTATACTCTTGTGTATACAAAATACATTTGTTTAAGTCTAAGATTATAATAAAAATGTGATTAAGTGCCCAGCCATGGCAGCAAGGCTGGACGCTACCCGAGGTAGGGGGAATGATGAAGAGGGAAGAAATCTCTACATCTCACCATTAGATAACTACAGCTTCAATCCAATTTCTCTTCATAATAAAAATGTATTTTGTAATTTAAAAAAAAAAATGCATTGGGCTGCAAAATCATTAAAAATGATGCAAATGTGAATAAATCATTTTTATGAATTGCTAGGCTTGTTTCATTTAAGGCAGTTCTGTAACAGAACCCGATATTTTCCCAGCGTTACTTGATGAGGATGCTCTCCTGCAGCACCCCCAGCTCAGCTTTCATGTTTTCTTGTCCCACAATGCACCACAGATGGGTCTGCAATGCAGGAAGGCCAGTTTAACTGCCAGACAGGTTTATTATAGAGCATGCTTGGATGATACTAAAGCTGCACAGAGTGGTTACAAATATTTCAGAGAAATAAAGTAAGTCTGCTGGAAATCACCTTGATGACAAAATCCTAATAGGTTTTTCAGATTAGAATGACCGATTTAATGGTCTTAAATAGAACTCTGTGATTTACACAACACATTCTGTAATGTGTATTAAGCAGATTTCCTTCTGAATTATATGTCATGCTTGATAGCACTTTCATTTTTATAGTTATTTCCTAATATGTAATTCATACGCGCTCTCCTTTTTTATCTGCAGCTACGGCCAGCAGGATAAATATGCTGCTCCCTCCATGGGCGCCCTGACAGGCATATGAACATTGGTTTTATAAATATGTTTAGAGGAAAAGTATGGAAGCCAACGGTGACCTTCCAAACAATAAATAGTTATTTCTCCACATAATGAGAAAATGATACAGTAATCAAGAGAAAAATACTAGATTTTAAACTAACGAGGTGATCATGGATTACGAGAGCTGAATCTTTTGTAGGCAATAGAATATGAGTTATGTAGGTTACGAGCGGTACTTAAATACAGCACCACTGTGGGTGCGTCGCCACAGAAAGCTGTGCTGAATACTAAGAAGAAATGTTAAACTAAACCAAGGAAACTTTACATCCTAAAATTATTTTAAGTTTATAAAGAACATGTTTTCCTCATCAGGTTCTTTATTAATTTGCAAAATATCCTTATAATGTTCTCATATGCAGAGGCAGAGTAACGTTCTTAGCTGTTTTCCATTAGAGCAGCACTACCTTAACGTACTTAACTAACAGTAATAAGTAGTGCTTATAAATACTTAAGCAGGTGTGAAAAAGCTGTCCGTTAATGAATAACTAATCTAAACATCTGGTTCATTGTTCATTGTTTTCATTTTTATGTAATAATGTAAAATTACATGAAAATTTAAATTGTAGTTGACAATAAAGTTGATTAATTGATTTGATTGATAAATAACAGATTAATAAAAAAAAAATATTTCCTAATTCTGGTATTTTAAAATATTAAAAAACACACATCCACAAAAACGTATATAAAATAACAAATTAGACTAAAGAAATTAGACTAAAGAAATACACTACATCAAGTAAAACTTTTGAAGATGACACGTAAATGTAACTATAGCAACAGCACAACTCGCCTATTAATTTTACCTGCCAATTAAACTCTCAGAACCTCAAAGAAAACCACTGATTTACGTTAGAGACAGTCATTTTGATTTTCTAACCTCCCTTTTCCCCTGAAAGCCCAGGATTTGTTTTGCCCAGCATTCTTCGGCCTGCTTTTCTCATTACCAGGGAGCTTTATGTAAGGCAGTGCTGTCTGACTTTTGGCCTGTAGGGGTTAGACCTGTAACTTCAAGATGTATTTTCAAAATTAAAGGAGTGGTTAAAATTAAAACTGGTATTTTGATATGTATGGATGTAGTGTTAGCAACATTAGCAGTTCATCATGGTATTTGTATTATCGTTTCCCAGTTGATTATACAATAGGTTAAAAGTTAAACAAGCAGCCAAACTACAGTAGTGATACAACGTTGATGTCCAGTAAAGTGTGTCCAGATGCGTCTGATGTTTCTGCTGCTCCTGTGTTCAATGGCAGAGAACGGCTTCGCTATATTTGCTGTGATCAGTGGGTAAAAATAAGCTTTAATAAATTTTAAGGGAGAAAGTCCACCTGAAAACATTGTCTGTGCAGTCAGTTAATCCAGATTAGGATCCTGCCTTTAAGGAACCACTGCCTGCGCTTTGGGTAGCAGACTGAAATGTGGATTTGGAGACCATTCAAAATGAGCTATGGATGGTGATTGAGATTCGTTGAGGTGTGGTTTGAAGCTGATTGGCTTGTGATTGAGGCGGATGAGGGTAAGTGATCTTTTCTTCAGATGAACTTCCACCTAAGCTTAAACTGAACTCCTGTCCACTGGAACTCATAGAATAAACATCCACATCTGTATTTGGACAACACAGGTGGGTCCAGATAGGTCGGCTGGATTTTTTTCTCTCTCTGACTCTAAAATCTTATACTTACATCATTCTCCTCATCTTCATTCTTTTCCTCAGCCGTTTTAATATCAGAAGCCTTCTTCTTTTCAGAAATCTCTGTCTTCTTTCTTCTCATGCCCCATTCTTTGCAAAAGAAACTAGAAATGTCACCAGGTTTAAATTTTCTGCAAAGTGTATGCTTCAAGACTTGGAAAAATTATCCCACTTTTAATGCCAGTATACAAACCAGAAATTATTTATCACATCTGCACAGCCTCACAAGCCCTTCTGTTTAGAATCATGCATTGATGGCAGAAAATGTATTATTTGATAATATATATTATAAAAATAGATTTTATTGGGTAAATCAGGCATAGTTTGAAGACAGTAAGAGGATTTTGGACAAACAAGCAATTGGTATTTCCAATCTTAATGACATAAAAGCAGGGAGGGGGGCTGAATGGCCACCCTCTGAGGTCCCCCCCTCTCAAAGGAAATCTGGAACAGCCCTTGCAAATAACCTAATTAGCCATATGAAGCTCTCTTAATTCCTTTATCACTCTCTTAGTGATGTATGTCTATACTCTCTCATTCTCTTAATGTTCAGCATATGTTGGATGGTTCAGCAGTCAATGATTAAACGGCCATAAATCAGCTTGTTTTGTCCTGGAGGCTCCAGCTTCTGCTCAGAAACACCTGCAGGGGACAGCGCAGGATTAGGCTGTGCAGAAATACTCCTGCACCCACGTACCGCAGGGATGGATGGATGGTTGGGTGGATGTGAAGATGAAGAGAACATACTTACATGGCCTATATACACGCGCACACCCTGAAGTCAGCAGTGCATCTGAGCTCCTTTTTGACTTTAATGCCTTGGTGCTGCTCAGCCTCTGCACCACACACACACACACACACACACACCAACTCTGCAGTGACGCGGGGAGGCTGGCTGCACTTATTACAATTCAACGTCAGAACAAGTTTGATAAACGCCCCCTCCCTCCCTCCCCTTCTTCCTTCATCAGCCCCCTCTCTCGCGCGCTCTGGCCCATTTCAGTGGTCTTCATCCACAGAGTGAGGAGATCCTGTTCTCCACCTCCATCTTTAGGTTCTTAGAGCATCAGCAGCATCAGCAGCAGTGGGCTGGCACACATTCAAAGTGGGCGCACATAGAGAGACACAGAGAGAGAGAGAGAGAGAGAGAGAGAGAGAGAGAGATCCGCCGCCGCATCTTGTGGATTTCTTTGCGCTCCAGTCCGTTTTCATGAGTCTCTCTGCTTCTCCTCACCCACAAACACGCCAGGAGTTGATTTCACTTCCCGTGGAAAAATGTGGAGTCGCTCAGTTGCGGCGGTCCTGGTTTTACTTCATCTCATCGGGGACGCGCTGGCAGGGTTTCCAAACCAAATCAACATCGGTAAGTTTAACCGCTTCTGTTGTTCTCTTTTTTTATGGCTCACATTTAAAACCCGGTTGGTAACCTAGTCCGTCCCTAGTCCGCTCCTTGTCTGTCCCCAGTTCGCTCCTATCCGCTCCTAGTCCGTCCCTAGTCCGCTCCTTGTCTGTCCCCAGTTCGCTCCTATCCGCTCCTAGTCCGTCCCTAGTCCGCTCCTTGTCTGTCCCCAGT